TGAAAGTACATTACACGTTATTGATACAACTATTGGCACAAATGAATGTACATTTTCTGTTAATGAACGGCAAAAGGTGTAATAACCAATGTGGAATTGAGAAGTTTTTGAATCTCTATTACAAAGCACGATGGAAAACAAATAGAGTACGACGCTCTTTTAGCTACACTAAAAATTCATCTGACGATTTTTGAACAGAGAAGTATTACAGCAAATATTTCAACGACAAAAATCAATAACAGGGTAATTGTTTTATAAAAGTTCCTTTGATTCCCTCTTCCATATTTGAAGTTCTCGGTTTCACAAGGTCCTTTGTGAGCTTTGATGCACATTTCCTATTTCCTTGGCTCCTTGACTATTATTAACACAGCAATTCTGATATTTCCTTACAATCGTATTCATTGACAGCATGTCAGGATAGTCACTGGTACTGCGCACAATGGGTCAAGAAAAACGTTTGCTTCTCTTACTATTACAAAAACATATTGAAGAAGTATTGTCCAGTCAGCTGTGGGTATTGTAATAGTTCTGTTATCACCCGCTAGACCAAGACCCATACCACACTCATGACCGTCACCCAAATCCTTATTCAGCCAATGACCGCCACCAACATCTTCACCACATCCCTATTGCTGCCACCTAGATTCTTGCCACGCCTATGACTGCTACCTAGATATGATCCTCGTCACACCCTTCAACGCCACATAGATCCTGAACACTTACGCCACCTACATCCCGACCACACTTTTGACCGCCACTAGTTCCTGGCCACACTCATGACTGCTACCTACTCATGGCCACACGCATATATGTCCGCCACCTTGATCTTTACCACGCCCATGACCGCCACCTAGATCCTGACCACACTCTTGACCGCAACTATGGTCCTAACCACACCCATGACCGCCACTAGTTCCTGAACCACTCTTGACCGTCACTATGGCCCTGACCACACCCATGACCGCTACCTACTCATGGCCACACCCTAGACCACCACCTAGATCCTGACCACACTCTTGACCGCCACTAGTTCCTGACCACACCCGTGACCGCTACCTACTCATGGCCACACCCTTGACCGCCACCAAGATCCTCGCCAAGACTAGGATCACAACCTAGATCCTACGCCTCTCATGATGCACGTCCATAGCTCAAACCTAAAACAAGACACGTTTATGGTTACTGCTTACACCTTAACCATTACCAGGCTCATGACTGCTATACCTCGACCTCACGCTACTTCTTTCGGCCAAACCTAGAACAAGACGCCTAACACACAACGTCCATGATCGCTTCCGAGAACTGTCACCATACCCTTAACTTCAACCTTGAACAAGACGCTTTCTACGACCATGTCCACGACCTAGATCTCTCACCTTGCGCTTTTACATAGAACAAAACTATAGCCTGTACTATAACAGGTACTTATATCTTTACCCCCATTACGTCCATATATTTAATCTAGAAAGGGACTCATATCACACCCATAACCAATTCATAGACTTCTAATGTCCATGGATTTAACCTAAAACAAGACTGTAGGCTGCCTGTTACTTAAACCTTGACCCTTACCTCGACCATGGCTATGACAAGTCGCTACCACGCCCTTGACTATCTACACCTTTCCACATGGCAAGAGGTCCCAACTAGAACTAGACTCTAACCTGTCAAAGACCTTCAACGTCTCCACCTCTTGCCCACGGTATCTAGGCCCTTAATATGTCTATGGCCCCAATATAAAACAAGGCTCCAGGCTGTGACTGTTACTCATACCTCGACCCTTGCCTCGGTTATGGCTATGTCAAGTCGCTACCGCGCCCCTTACCACTAAATAAACCTTTCCATATTGGAAGAGGTCTAACCTAAAGTAAGGCTCTAGACTGACTGTACTTATACCTTGACCCTTACCTTGACCATGGCTATGACAAGACTCTACCGCGCCCCTTACCACTACCTAGACCTTTCCACATGGCAAGAGGTCCAACCTAAAATAAGGCTGTAGGCTGACTGTACTTATACCTTGACCCTTACCTCGACATGGCTATAACAGGTCGCTACCACGCCCTTGACCACTACCTAGACCTTTCCACATGGCAAGAGGTCCAAACTAGAACTAGACTCTGACCTTAGACAGAACTTCAACCTCTCCACGTCCATTGCAACTGCAACGTGGCGTCGTAACATGCCCAAGGCTCCAACCTCGAACTAGTCACTTTCCACACGCATTACAAATTTTTAAACCTTCGGCCTTACTTTTGGATCCAACAAAAAACTTGTCTTTACCTGTTACTGTCAAACACAAATGCCTTCACCTTTGACACACCCATGCCAACTGGATCTAGGCTCTTATATACCATGCCCACGATTGATACCAAAAATTCTTCCCCTAACGCGCTCATGAGTACACGATAGACTTTAATCTCTAAATCACACAGCAATGCATAGAAACCTTTTCCCTCTTACTTTAACCGGATTTGAGCAGCTTAACTATCTAGACATTCCCAATCTAAAATCATGAAATAAATAATATGTGAATATGCATAGAAATGAAAAGAAAAAAATGGGATTCCAAAATCTAATTAGCGCTTGAGATATAAATTGTTCCCTGACTGTATCATGTTATAGTGATTATCCATGTATGTACAAACCGAGCAAATCAGAAATGTAAAGAAACTCAATAAAGCAAGCTTGATTGAAGTGCAAAATACAAGCAATGATTCATATAGAGAAAATCATACCGATAATCGAAAACAAATGGATTAAGTAACGATGCCGTTTAGAACGATAGCGAGAACAATATGCCCGCGGCATGGACAGCCGTATACGATTTGGATTACGGCAGTGTTAATTAAATTATATTTTTCAATCTTATTGGCTTAAATTCGAAAAGCGCCAAATTCAAACTTATTTTCGTTCATGTTCTTATACAAGTCTGGTATAGTTGCAGTAAATTGCCGAGCAGACTTGTTGAACAACGATTGATAACATAGGCGAGTTTGGAACAAATTGTATGTGGGGAACATCACAAAATAGATTTTCGAGTGTTCCCCACATATGATTGGTCTAAAAAAAATCGGACAATAGTTCCGATGTATCTTTGGTAAATGGAATGACAATTCGGTAATAATTCGGCGTTTTTCTGTAAAAGATAAAATGACTATTTTTTTCGGCCAATCAAAGAGCTTGGATATAATTATTTAAGCCAATTATAGAAATCTTCACTGCGCATGCCTTGCCGTTGGGTGCTATCGTTCTAAACGGCATCGTTACTTAAAAACTCTTTCCAGTCAGCATTTACCACTCTTTTCACTGCTACGCGCTGATCGAGACAACAGTCGCAAAAGGAAAATGTGGCAATACACTGCCGCCAATCAGAGAATATAAAGCTACCAACCTATTCGTCCAAGCCTTCTTGAAAACTTAAACGCCTTTAATGTATTATACATGCTTGTAATTTTTATCAAATTTTACCCTCTAATTTATTATCTTTTATGATATTAGTATTTTTTTGTTTAATTACCTTTTATTATTGTAATATAGAAGATAATATAGGTAAGTTGTAGTGCTTGGGAACGAGGTTATTCCCAAGCACTACAACTTACCTATATTATCTTCTACTATTTCATTAGTGCCACGCGGTCCACATACTCTCATTATTGTAATATATATCTTTATACTTTTGTTAGGGCCGTAAGGGAGAGTACAGTTTTCTGCAATTACGGTTCCCTCTTCAAATAAAGTGTTACTACTACTACTACTACAACTACTACTTATCTGATTGACGCAAGTGTATTGCCTAATTTCCCTGTCGCGACTGTTTTCTCAATCAGCTCTTTAGCAATGAAAAGAGTGGTAAAGTAAGAAAGAAAGGGGAAAAAATCAAGATTACTTACTAATTGTGAATAGACCGTTTTCTCAAGGTTGCGCGCTCATCCAAATTTGAGAAACCTGATCACAGGCCACGATGCCAGGACAGGAGCTTTATAATGAGAATTATAATATATTTCTATGAGATGTTTCGACAAGGATTCATAAAATTGATTATTTTCTAATTTTAATATAAAACTGTATCCTCTAATTTACTAAATTTGCGTTTTTCAGTTTTGTGGCCCGCCTAGATTGGATGCGCACGCAACCTTGAGAAAACGGTCTATTGATTCTGAATAATGCGCAAAGAGGAATGGACAGTCACTCTTTTTTTAAATATACTTCTAAATTGCATAATTAAAAAAAAAAAGTTTTATCGTATCTGGATACAATGGCGTTCGAACCCACCAAAAGAAAAAAAAGGGGAAAATAACCGATTCAATGGTGCCATACCCCCGAGACATCCGCAGAGCTGAGGCGGCGTATGGACTTCGGACCTGACGGCAATTAAATCCTTCTGCCCTTGGGTGCACGAATTACGCAAGAAAATGTTCTAGCCGAAGCATCAGGAGAGAGACCAGCCGGCCCCCAGACCATATCGGCTAATCCCTTGCATCTCTGCCACGCACGGAATCGGTTGAAAAAATATTGTTAAAAAGTCTAGTCTATTCGGTGCATTGTTTTCACGGCTATTGTTATGCTGATTCAYCTGGAACCGTGGTCTAGTGGAAAAAACTTGGGCTTCCCTATTTATACTAAGTCAAGTCCGGTTTGGGGAAGTTAGTACCTGGATGGGTGACCTGAAACTTATGCCTACTTAACAAATTTTTTTTTTTTTGAAAGTTTTTTTTTTTTTTTTATTGTAAATCTTAATCGATTGCAATTCGCTTTAGTTAAAAAACTGTAAAACATTAAAAACTGCCGGGCATTCTGATTGATCCGAAGTAAGCGAATACGTCGCAGAGTGTTTTTCGTATTCTTTGCTGAAAAGGTCAAAAGGCGTGACCTCAATGTTCACTTGGTTGAGATGACAGGACACCAAGACTAAATCCTTTTGTCAATCAACCGCAATCACGGCTATGACGTCACATACATCTCAAGAATAACCAAAGTCTGAATAAGGCGGGGTTAAGTTTCCTTAGCCCAATGATAGAAAACTTTCAAATTATATTTAACGCCATGTTCCCTGTTTCAATTGTTACTTCGCCCTCATACAAGGTGCTCTATATCATTTCTAGTGTTTATTTTGAAATAGATTCTCGTTTCAAGACAGCTAGGGTCACCTGTCCTGTTTGTGCAAGTCGTCCATCGGCCTGGGTTAACCGTCTGGCCTTTTCTGTGTGAATACCATGTAACCAATCCATTTATTTCATTTCTCTTCTGATCGTCTTGATCCATTAGTCAATTAGCGGTTTCTTTAATATCCATTAGTATAAGACTTTTTTCTATGACCAGCCTGAACAAAAACCTGTTATTGCTAACCATGTTGACTTAGAGAGAGGAGATATTTTCGTAACTCAGCAAAACAAACTAAGAATGAAAATTTTTACTAGTAATAATTTATAATTTTAGAATAACAATTTCGTTTTTCTTCGTATCCAAGGCAATGGTTGTAACTCTAAATCATTTTCATTTTCCGTGCGTCAACTTCATAGTTCATCAAATGACATGACAGCTTCCAGCTTTACATGACAGACTCTACACATGAACTAGTTTCACTTCAAAATATTTCTCATTAATTAAGAGATTTCATTTTACTAAGTTAAGTTTGGGAAGTCGTAACTTGCAATTTGACATTAAGCTGGCTGTATGGTCGAAATATACTCTCCGGCACTAACTTGAAACCGGAGCCTTTTTTGCTAATAAACATTGAGGGGATTTTTTTCAATAATGAGAAATAATGGCAAAAAGCGCCAAAAACTAGACTTTCGTATGAGTTTTGATCCCAATTTTCGTTTTGGGTAAGCACTCAAAACCTTTTTTAAACAGTTAGAAACTGATGTACTATGATAAAATGCCTGTTTGAAGCGGTATTTTCAATTGTACAAAGATGTTTTGTAGCATTTGTGCTAGAATGTTGCTTTGTCAGGAGAAATAAGCAAATGAAGGCCTAAACTCATTTTCGAATAAAATTTTTGCTTTGGGTTAACACTTTGATTCCACTTTAATCGGTCATCTCCACTTCCAAACAAGTTAAACTTTCTGAATAACAAGATTTTAGCCTTGTACAACAGCCAACAGCCTTTAGTGGTTGTATAAAAAAATCGTAATTGTAAAAGGCTTTATGCTGTTTTTGATATCCTGCAAATATTTTCAACGAAATTATGTTTTCTGTCGCCAGTCATAAACGTACTTTCTGATTATTTTTGATTTAATAGAGGCAGCAAAAACCCAAACTTTTTGAAAGAAGCAAAGTACAAGATTTCAGCGTCCAGCTCGCATCTACCCAGTGCGCAGAATATCAAAAACCGAAGTAAGATATGTTTTAGAAATATATAACTTATATTAGTCGATCGTGCAATATAATAAATTTTACAAAAAAAATAAGAGATAAAAAATAAAATAAAATAAAATAAAATAAATAAAATAAACAAAATTGAAAAAATAAAAAAAATAAAAAAAATAAAAACAAACTCATAGAAACTTTGTCTAATTATACATGAGATTCACTTAAAGTCACAATATAAAAAGTAAGAAGTAGGTAACTCTAGATTTAGGGTTTCACATTGGTTGAGCCCAAGATTTGACCGAACAGCTGATAGTTTTCGTTTACTTGTCGCCATGTTTTTCTTTCTCCATGAAGAAAGACAATTTGGTGACGAACTTTGGCCAAATAAGCAATTACAACATGACCAAAATGTTTATTTTTCTAGAACTTAATTTGACATAACTTTCGTCACTTCAGAAGTTTGTGTGAGCATACTCTAAAAAACTTGTTCGTGACGTATGTAAAATCCCTATATTAAGCAAACAAGTCAATGCAATAGTATCTCTGTGTTTACCTTTGATAACATTCAGTGTGACACTAGTTACTTTCTTCAAATGTAATAAAAAGTTCAAATAATAAGTAGCAAAAAAAATCAAGTTTGCTACTTTATGCAAACAAGTTGTTTAAAGAAAACGTGGATGTTTACATTAAAAGGAAAGATTGTGCAATTAATCTTTGTGGATCTTTCAGAATTTAGTTTAGAAATGTGACTCGATTTTCAAGGCACCTTGGAGAGGATTTCCTTTCGCATTTGAATTGAACATCAAAAAACGATCGTTAGTATTTTGTACCATTTCCACTGATGTACTGATGAAAAATGGATTGTCACTGCAGAAGTAGATTGCTCAAACTGATCCAAGTTTTAGTACAAAATCTATGTTCAAATAAAAGTGACATTTTACAAGGACTTTATTTCCGTGATCAACTCAAAAGAGCGAAGCGGGAACCAACAGTAACGAGAGTAAATAAAAAAATTACAAAGTAGCTTGTTGACTTTGCAAGGGATGATGTTTGGTTTGACGATTAATCCCGTGGGAATCTTAAGAAATATTGTACTTTTTTATCCTAAGTATAAGAATTATTTTAGTTGTGACTGAATGTAAGGTATAGATGTTTCTGGTCAGACAACAAGACATGAATCTCAACATTTGGCCGTTTTATGGCATTTTCATTGTCTTTGCTGTCTTAGGAGTTGGTCAAGGTAAGCCAAAATATGTACGTGTTACGTTAACATGTGATTTGGTGATTAAATGTTTTTACTGAACTACCCTTAATAGGGTTTTAATACGATATTTTCGTACTTAAAGTAATACATGGCTGAGATAAAATGCACAATATGTATTCATGCACTTTACAACTCTGGTTTATCAGTTTATCAGTTTATCAGTTCATTAGGGTATTTTTAAAAGAGTTTTTCTGAAGTAGGTGCTTCTAGTAACTTGCAAACGAAAGGAGCTCATGAATGAACAAAAAATTGTGACAATTTGTGCATCCTAATTACCTTGGGTTGAAAACATTAGAATGTTAATACAAGATGAAAAACAGTTTTATGACTTGTCGAATCATCATCTGAATTCTAATTTGATCATGGAATGAGGGCCACAATATTACCATTGTCTAACGTACAAACCGAAGTGCTAGCCTCATACATCAAGGTGACGAGGTGCTTTATATATTTCTAATAGAAAATTCTTTTAGCTAACGAGTTATAAAAAAGTAATTGTCAAAAAAGTAAGAAATTAACTGAAAGCTCACGAAAACGTCGAGCTATATATTTCTGCATCAAATGAATGTCTTACTCTGTGCTGGAACTGACACTTAATTTTACCTTTGAAATACAGCAGCAATACAAGACATATGTGGAACACGGTCAGGTTTATCCAGAATAGCTGGAGGGAAAGATTCATCTGGTATTTGGCCATGGCAAGTTGAGCTATTGAAGGTCAATAAAAATGTAACAGCATACGTACACAAGTGCGGTGGTGTTTTAATTGATGAAAAATGGGTGATTACAGCAGCGAGCTGCGTCTTCCAGGATCCTTATCCTACCTTTTACAAAGTCAAAATAGGTATGTAGCTATGGATATTTTTCTATAATTTTAATGATCTTGCTTCGCTAGTTCATGTATTGTTAAATCCCAGCGTTGGAAAATCACGCCAGAGCTTGTGACAAACTTTTTAAGGTGCCTTTACCTTCTAGTTCCATATCGTATCCTACCTTTTACAAAGTCAAAACAGGTGTTTAGCTATCGATATTTTAATAAT